TTATAAAATGCCGACGTCTGATCTCAACCTTAACAACAACAACATGTAATGTTGTAAAGTGCTATTGATCAGCACATGAAAATACGCGCTATATAAATTGGTAAATTATTATTGTTATTATTATTATTTTTTTTTTTTTTTATAAGATGGAGTTATGTTTTATGGTGAGAACTTGGTAACTTAAAGGCAGAAGAATAACTTAGTGGAAAGAAAAACCTCCATTGATACCTGGGGATTAAGGGTGCCAATTTCATAAATAATTTTTGTTTGAGAGTTTTGCAGCTATTTTTCCCAGAATGCTTGACACTGTCAGTTTTCTTTAATTCAGAATTCAAATTATAACTACCAAACAATAAGATCTAAATATATAAATAAATGAGTAAATAAAAAAATTAAGTCTCCTGGAGGATACGTCAATAACGAATTAATCCAACATCTCGTAGATGACACAAATTAATTTTTTTTGGAGCCCTGTAGAAACTCAAATCAAAGCACTAATTTCTTATGATTTCGTTTTCGCAGAAACGCAATTCTTTACGATCGTTCCTTCGATATTGAAAAAAATACAACGAGACTTATTCTTAAGTCGCAGTTCGATGTTGTTCTCTTCAAAGCCTAACAATGTCCAGAAGTTTTAGGCAAACAAAGGCCATTGTTTAGATGGAGTTACAAGACACAAGAGACAAATTAAGCTCAGTTGATCACTAAGCTTACAGTCTTTCAGACAAGTAACAAGAAAACCAAACAGAACAGTTAACATAAATACTTCACAAATATTACTCGAATCAAAGTTTGTTTAAGAATAGCGATATTCAATATAAAATGTAAAGCAATGATAGCATGATATGGCCATCGCAAGTTACCTTCGCTTTACCCAAGCTCGACTCGGAGGGTCTCCAAAAAATTGAACATGACATTCATCCCCTCGTTCAAACACCCCTTGCGAAGGATGATCACAAATCAAACTTGGCCACCACGGATGTCCTTCGAGTTTCGCCCATACAATTCCACATTGTTCAATTTTCACCGGGCCAGATTCCCCGCTCGAATCTTTCAGCGTTCTTGAAGCTTTCGGCGCTTTTGGCGAAGTCGATTTCTTATCGTTAATCGGCGAAAACCCCTTTGCGCCTTCCTTTGGCGAATTATTCTTCTTTTTATCTGCTGTATCTCCGCAAACAGGAGACGAGGGCTTTTTAGATTTTGGAGTAAAATACGAAAACAGAGTCGCCATGTTTACAGTCTGGCGTGAAGAATTTTCCCGCGCTTCTCTACAACATCAGCGCGCATGTACAAAAGTCTACTAGTTCCAAGATTCTCAATCGGCCATAAAAGATAGAGAAGGACGAACCAAGGGAACTGGAGAGGGTGAAGTACCACTCCCATTTAGCACGATTTTGGAAATGGTACATCAGATCGTATGCTGATCGTACGAAGTTCACAGTGTTCAGGCGGTTAGCTGTCGTTCTTACCCAGTCAATTTTAAAAGTCCTTTCGTTACCAGCTCGGTTGTTAGTACGAACGCGCGCGCACACCTACGCACACACATACGCTGGCACGTATGCACGCGCGTAAGCACTGAGATGGTGATCGGAAACCAAGCATTTCTTGGTTATGGTGTCAAGTTGTAGAAGGGATCAACAGGGTTTTAGACCCTTTCACTCCCATCAGTGACCAATACAGACGAGTGATGAGAATGAAGGAAAAGGTCGTTTAAAATAATCGGCTTATTAGTTGATCTAATACCAAATTCTCCCACTAATATCAAAAGAATTGTATGGCAGACCGTGAGTAGGGGGAATGATTAATGAAACTTTGCGAGTGAAAGGATTAGTAATTGGTCAGTAGGCCTCGTTGCACTTCAGTGGGGAGTCTTCTTCAAAGGTTAACATCCCCCCGATCTTCATTGGAAACTCTACAATTGAATGGGTATCGAAATCACGATTACTGTGAATGACCGTCGATGAGAAACTGACCTGGACTCCGCATATGCTGGAACTTAAAAAA